GGGGGTGCGGGAGCTCAGGCGCGAGGGCTCCTCCGTGTGCCGGGGGTTGGGGCCGAGGTGAGCCCAAAGGGTTCGTTTTCCTGCCAGCCCTTAGATTTGTTTGCCCCGTTTGGCAAAGGCGAGAGCTGCTGATCGGTTTTGTGATCGGGGTGATGCTTAAAGGGGAGTGTGGGCATGGAATCTGTGAGACCAGGAAGTGAATTTTGCTTTTAAAAGCAAGAGTCTAAAAGGTTCATCCTCTTTCTTCCGTTATGACTGAACTGACAAGCCATGTGTGAAACGTAAGCTAACTGAGGCTGCTAATAATTGTACAGCTTTTAGCACTTCACTTTTGTCCTCTGGCTTTTGGCCCAAATAGTTTTCAGGTTTGTGTCTCAGATCTTGGAGAAGAAACACCCTCTTTTCGGGAGCAGCAGAGGATTACACTGTCTCAGGCTCTGCTGGGGTCAAAAGAGCCATAACAGATGTGCTAAAGTTTGATCTGCATGCTTTTTTTTGCAGATCTAGTGTTTAAATGTGGATTGTCCCTGCAACGAACATAGTTTTGTCTTAAGTGTAATTTGTTTCCCTTCCATTCACAGGAATTACTGCTGTTGGTGTAAGGAAATCAATGTGAACACATCATAGCAATAGGTAGGTCTTCATAGCTCAACTGACTCTCCTGTTGGGATGACAATCAGCCATAACTGTATCCTAAGTGGCAGACAGGTGTTTTTCTTTACAGCCATTCACAAACAAGAATGCAGTGTATAGTGCTGGGAATTTTTACCCTTTCTTCTTTTTAAGGGAAATACTTGTACTGCCAACTGTCTCAGCAATCACAGGCTTAAATTTCTACGTGACTGTAACTAGGGCGCTTCAGTATTAAAGTTAACGTCATACACCAGCAATGTGTGGTATTAATCTGAAGCACAGAGTGTCAAAACACTTTTCAGACATTTCCCTCTTCTGACGGTAATTCTGCACTAAGAGTAAGCATTAGAAGTAGAAAATGAAACAGGTGCTTGTGGGAAGATGCACGTTGTTGATGTTGTCATATGGCATGCTTTTCTTACTGAAATCTTAAAATATTTTTAAAGAGCGTGTAGTAGGGTGAGTTCAAAATACACAGTGCAAATCGATGTTTAACACCTTAAATTGTGAAACTTACTGCCTTGGTTTGTCATGGAAACACGTAGTATTCATGGGTTCAGAGAAATGGCACATTCTGGTTTTAAATGCCAAAACCAGTTTGGAGACAAAAAAAGTATATGAACTGCCACTTGCTGAAATCAGAAGTGTACCTAGAAAAGCAATTTCTATTTGCAAACTCTAGTGTTATATTTTATGGAGCATCTCTTACTACGCGTTGCCAGAAACTGGATACCTAGTTAGGGACATCTCTGGCCTGACAGGCTAAAGGAGCAGGGACAAAAGCAGCAGTGGGCCAAGGATGTGGTCAGCTGTCTGTTGTTTTGTGCATTTGTGATTTAAGCATAGTTTGATGTTTCGGGAAAGCTTTATATAAATGTTGTTGAAATCTGCTGAATTTATTGAAATTTCACTTTCCTTTAATAATATCTTATATTTTTACCCTAATACCGTGCAACAGGTTAATTAATTGTGTGCTCATCGGTGTTCTGAATAAAGTCAAAGCCCTCTTGTTTCCGCATTGGTAGGTCTTTCTGAGCCCTACCTGTCACTTCCAGTATGGAAACCATGTGACAGTACTATATCCAACACACCACTAGAGGGCTTTGCTCTCAGGGTATGGATTATATTACCAAGTTATAAAAAACAGTATTTCGTGGTTGTGTCTCACAATATGACAGACATTGTCTCAACTTCTTTTTACTCCAGTGGAATTAAATGCTGTCATTGATGTGATCGGATTTATTTTCACTGTTTGCTTGCCTCAAGTTGGTAAGGAGACAGGCATGTTTTGATGAAAGGGAGTACATCCATATTTAATTATCAGTGGGGAAATATTTTAAACTGGAGTAACATTTATCAAAAAATAACTTCCATCATTAATGGTCAGCATAGGCAAATAAATACCTTCCTCATTTAAAATTCTACGTTTGCTGGTGAGTTTCGTATGTTCAGTTGCTTCCATATTTTATTTTTTAAAAGTATAAATTATAGAGGTAGAGTTATCACATTTATTTTCTGCTTCTTGTCATGTTTCATATTTTATGTAGTTTGTTTTGGAAGAGTAATTCGGCTGAAAAACTAAACAAACTCATTCTTTAATTTAGTGTCCCAGCTTGCAACATTGTTATTCTCTGTTTTATATTTGTAGTCTAACATTTCATAAATAATTTAGGAAGATAATTAATGTTTCTGTGTTTAGCAAAACAGCTTTTTCATATTTGGTAAACTAATATAGTTAGATAGTTTTGCCAGGGTTTTTCCCTTGTTTCCCCTTCTGAGAGCATGTGTATGTGTTGCATATTAATAATGAAGTATCAGACTTCACCACTTACTGCTTTAAAAAGTGTGTTTACATTAAGCTCTGAACCCCATTTCTGTATCTTTTGTCATGTAGGAACTGAGGTGAACATGAAAATTAAATATGTGCACTTTTTCTGAAGTGGAAAATGGAAGAAACTACTACTGTGGGCTTAGGTTCTTAAGCATGAGAAGAAGACATTATGGCAACCTTGACAGTATCCAGATGTGTATGGGAAAGGGACAATAAGTACATGTGTACGTCATGAGAGTGAAGATAAAAGTTTTGAACAGGGCGAGCATGGGAAATGAGATGTTTGAAATGAACAAAGAGCTGTAGCTGAGGAGTCTTTTAGGTATATGTGAGTTTCAAGTGTTACGAGTCACTGCAGCATTTTACAGTGACCTCAGTGCTGGGTTTTCTTCTTCCTCCAAGCAGGCAGGAGAGAATGCAATGGACTCACACAGTTTGGTTGCCTCATGCATGATCCAGCATTCCTTTTCTCACATGAGTCATCCCATTGATTGCAATGCGACTGCTCATGTATGTAGACTGCTTATAGACAGGTTAGTGTGACCAAGGGTCTATGGGTTTGAGTGTGGTGTGGGCTTTGCAAAGGACGATAATTTGCCTTTGTGGTAGCTGTATGATTTGCATTTTCTTTGAACATGGGCCATCCCCATTCTCCTTTCACACAATATGACTTCTCATGAGAGGCAAAAAGTTGTTAAATCCGTATTGTTAAATATCAGGAAGAACACAGCTGTTGTATATACTGTATTCATATGCATTTTGAAAAATCCTAGGTTTATGCTGGTATAAATTTACAACAGTTCTAAGTGCTGTCTTGGTTATATTCCAGTGTTGCCAGGAATAGCATTTGACCGTGTCTTAGGGGTAGCAGTGGTAGTTTAGCTTACTGAGTTTCTGGTACCTTTCACTGGCACTCACCTAACATAAAGTTCAAGTTGAGGGTGAGAGCATCAGGAGAAATATGTGGTTGAAGCAGCTAATGTCTTAATGTAATAAAGTAATTGTCAGGTAGGGAGGGAGTTCAGAATATTTATCAGTGATTCATGCTGGGAAATCACACTGAAAATAATGGTAATTATAAATCCTGCCTTGTGGTTATAGATGTCTTGTTCTCCCTGTCTCCCCCCCACCTTTTTTTTCCCCCTCTGCAGTTGCCCTTCTCCTTTTAGCCTTTTCCTCACATTTAAAAAATGTGATTGCAACCTGAATTGGCTTGTGTTTTCTTTATGGGAGTCAGGATCAGATGTCTGAAAAAAAAGAGAAATAAATTGTAAGAAGGGATTGTATTGGTTATTAAGTGCACCATAGGTTTAAAAAGAATCCTTACTGCTTGAATGGAGTCAAGATAGGTTTAATCATTTTATGGTAATTGCTTCTTTTATAGATGCCCCTGTACAGACACCACTAAAAAGTGAGAACAGTGTGTTTCATTTAAATTTATGATGTTTGTTTGGCATTAATTCGGAAAATAAAGGTTGTGGAAGCATAAACAGTGAGAGAAAGTAGAAAAGAGGGTAATAGGGGGAAAAAAAGCATTCAGTCTCAGGATTTTAGGCTGCATTGTGTAGAAGGCTCCCTTTTGACCTTCTTATTGTAGTGGGGAATTTTAAGGAATGGCATTTTTACTGGTGCTAATCAAAAACTATAAATAAGAGACTTCAACTAGCCGTAACAGAGAGGGGATGCTTAACAGCTGTAGACCATAGTACTCAAGTTGAACAAAAATATATTCAGTGCTTGTGACCATCTTAATACATATATTTTTATGAATTAAAAAGCTATTGTTTTCTTTCCTAGTCCACCTTGATCAGCAGAACAAACTCCACAAGAGATGGTAAGCGGTCTTTATGGGTTTCTGTGTGATAACTTAGTCACATTTTATATCCAAAATGCATATAAACACTTTTATTGAACTGTCAGTGCAGATGTAAAAATTAGATGCGAAAGTAGCTAAATTGCTTTAAAAACAGAATTTGGATTACAACAGCGAGTGATTTGTCTACTCCTGGGAAGACTCTAGAGACATAACAGGAAAATAACAGAGGACTCTGATCATTTGCCTTAGATTTATAGCTTTTGTTTCCTTGAGGAAATCTCTTAATTTATTCCACAGCTGAAAAAGCACAGACGTAGAACTAAGCTAGACTTTGAAGTGTTCCTTTCTCTGTTCCACCCCAATGTAAAACATTTCTGTAATTTCTTTTTTAACAGATGTATTTTTAAAATTTTAATGTAAAAAGAGTTTTCAAGGGTCACTTTCAACAAAAAAGCCACAAAATGTAGTTGGACAGGCACCAGCATCACAGTTCTGTCTAAATGAACTGGCTTTTTGTCTTCTTTTCCCCTAAATTAACAACTGGAGCTAGTTAGCTAGACAGATCAGCCAGCTGGATTCCAGAGTTTTCAGTAAAGTCATCAAGGCCCCTTTTAGAAACATTTCAGAAGAACTGGAGATAATTTTTGAGCTTTAAAAGAATATGTTGTCTTCTTTGGAAATGCAGAGAGTGTATGAGATACCTGCTTTTGTCAAGCTTCATGATGTTTCAAAACTGAATTTTTAAGTAGTGGAAGAAATAAGACAAAATGTTCTAAAAGTAACCAGTGAATGTCTCAGATTTGACAACAGGACAGTCTTCTCTGACTGCTGAAGGATGAGGAGTCAGTGTGACATTCTTAAGCAAAGCAAGAACAGTAAATAAAACATTGTTCATCCTAGCTTTTAGGTGGTTGGATGATTACGAGTGAAGAAACTCCATATGGAAGGCAGATGCTTTTCTTGCACCCACTCGTTTTAGGAATAAATCTTCTGAAATGCATGGTCTTGTAGCAGCGCAGTGTTAGACCAAGACAAGAATCAGAATGAAGTTTCACCTCCGCAAATTGTTCCTTTTCAGGAAAGATAATTTAAATCATGTAGCTGAGCCCCACACAGACCTTCACAAATCAGGTGCAATTTTTGATCAGAAATTCTTAAGGAATGCAAGTTCATTATAGTGGGTTTTCTTTATGAACTCTATTAGCCAGAGGTACATGGTTTCTGAGAGCACTTATGACCTTACAAAGAGGTAGCATTTCTAGATCTCTTATGAGATAATGGGCTCAATTTTGCAGAAAGAAGGGAAACATGAGAGTTACAGTTATTATTCCAAGCTCTCTAGCATTTGCATTATTGCCTGATAACCAGAAAGTGAAAACAAATGTAAATAAATGAAATTAACCTCACTTGATATTGTTAGTATTAAATGGAAACTATTTCTAAGGTTTGTTTTTTCTGTTTTGTTTTGGGATTTTTTTTTTCCAGAGGATCATTGTTTTAAGGCTACAGAATGGTGCCAGTGCAGATCAAGAAAAGACGCTTAAAGAAAGATTTTTGTCTTGTATGCCCTTTTTAAAAAAAATCATAAAAGACTGTAAATGTCACATTCATCTCTGAAAACCTCAGCTAATCTTGCCATAGTTTTGAGTGTTTGTCAAAACACGGCTTAAGTAAAATTCTTCCAATTTAAAGTACAGGCATTCTGTTTTGGCCCAGTTGAAAGATTTTCTATGGAAGTTAAGATGTGGGGAAAAGAAAAAAAAAAATGCTGTTTATTTTATTTGTTCTAGGCTCTGGTTTACTTTATGGCCTTATAAGATCCTCTATTTTCCCCTCTTTTTGAGAGTAGGATGAGGAGGGGGATGAAATGGCCTGTAGGAAGTGGGTTTAAGGCTAGAGGGATTGTGGGGCTTTGTAGTTGCTGGTGAAATCTGAACAGTGTGAAGCTGTATTTTTTCAGGAAAACTAAGATTAGCTGGAAGACAGCAGAAGGTGTGTTGCAGTATGTTTCGTTTTAGAGAACTATTTTTCCTTGTAGTTTATCAGTGGTACTTTATTACCTTTTCATATGTTGGTAGCTGATGAGTACAAAAGGGAGATTTACTGGCAGCTTGCACTTGGCTAAATACGGCCTTGTTTTTGATCGAGGCCATGATTGATATATGAACTCGGCTGAATTGCCATTTGACCTTTTCTGAGAAACTTATTTTGGCAGGCAGATGGAGGAAATATGTTACTGGATAAAATGAATGCCTTTGTTTAATATGGAGGAATTTTAAGCTCTTGTGTTTTCTGTCTGCGGATTTGGAAATCAGGTGTAGGTTGTAATACATACACCTTGGAATGGTTCCGTTCTTACAAGTCACATGAGCAGCTAAGAAAATGTGGAACATATCTACACGGCATATCCCCTAAAAGGAACTGATTCCCACTGTAGTAGCCCAAACACTTTGAAAATTCCTTCTGGACATTACAACTTCTCTATTGCTAATTCTTCATTGGTAGTTGTGTTCATACAAAAGCAATCTCTTGTCAGAGTAATGAAGTGTAATGCACTTGCGCTGTGTTAATACTTGTCCTCTTTCATCTGTATGGTTTATCATAGGAAAAGGATGACTAATAATTAAAAGGCTGGCTTTGGGTTTGCATTTACAGTGTTTGTCCGCTCAATTACTGTTTGTTTTCTCATTTTTTTTTCTTGATGTTCTTTCACCCTCCTTTTTTTGACCACAGGAAGACACTGAGCCATGGTATTATCACCAAGTGTATGCAAGATACTGGAAGCACTATGACTTAGCCATGCGCTGGATGCGTAGACACCAGAAAGCCTACAGGAAAGCCGTGGAGTCCTTTTATCACTTACCATGGCATCCTTCTGCAGCCTCTCCAAGTACCCGTTACTCAGATTGGGACGGGAATGATCTCCCACGTACCCGCAACTATTCTTCCAGCTATAGCCCACATGGGAGAGCTCAGTACCGTGGCGGAGCTCAGCAGTACACAGATGCATACCAAGGGGGGGAGGATGCTGACAGGGACTCTGAAATGGAGGAGGGCTCTGAGTCTGAAGGGGAGATAGAATATGACTTGAGTAACATGGAGATTACAGAGGAGCTTCGTCAGTTTTTCGCACAGACGGAGCGGCACCGGGAGGAGCTGCGTAAGTCCATGCTTGTTCTATGTTTTCTAGTATTTGGTGGCCATAACATTGAGGGATGGATGGCTTCAACATTTACAGGTTTTGTAACAATTCACAGAAATAGACACTGCAAGTGAGCAAGCCAGACAGAATGAAGCATGCAAAACTGGTGGGTGCACTTAAGTACTGTTCATTAGAAATGAGAGAAAATTATGACTGCAAAGAGGAGAATAATGCACTTGTCCAGAAGACAATACTCACCTTCAGTGCTGAAGGAAAAAACTCCAGAATTTTTATGGTTAAATCTAGTTAACATGCTGTATGTCTGAGAGGGGAGCCCAGAGGAAGTACTTTACTACATCACTAAACCCTAGAGTAAGCCTCAATGTATTTTATAACATGGAGCAGCCATTTTGCTTGTTATTCTTTGGCTAACCCAACAGTAAAATTCCATGACCTTTTTCTTCTCTCCCTGCATCCCTAGGGTACTCTTTATTCTGTACTATACCACAAGTTTCTCTTTGTTTTGCATCTTGATCTGGACCCAAGACCTTAAGCAGAGAATGTAAGCCAAAGACTTAAGATTTTTCTCAGGTCTTGATCCTCAGAGGTATCGGTCATCTTTGTTTCTGTGAAATCCTTAAAAGAAATAAAAGATTATGTTGTACTTTTGACACTTACTATGTATACAAATGTTGCAGGAAAATTTTTTATGTTTTAAGAAAGCAGCATGATGAAAATAACTTTTCTCACATGACTCCAATAGGAAATACCCAGAATGAATGTTTAATAGAGCTTTCTCTGAAAGAGGGAGGTGGTGTAAAAATGTGCAATAAGGGCAGTGATTGGGAGGGAGAGATAAAGGAATGTGTTAAGTTCTTTGATCAGAGCTTGTCTGGTGAGCTGAAACACCTCATGTTAACTTCACACTTCCCATCAGTATGATGTACAGTTGATCTAGTTAGCAGAGGAAGGTGAGTTAAGGAGCAAGATGGTAGTGCCTGACATGCATCCCTTTCTCATCATGCTTTTGCAGAATCATCTCAGTGTTCTCTGTTGAAACGTTCCTTTGATGAGGTACAGGATGCTTAAAGATGCTCGTCTACTTCTGCAAATGCAGTACATTTTCTTTGGATTTATTTTTTCTTTACGGTTAGTGGTGTTTAAAGGTGTGCAAGTGATTAAAGTGATATCCTGGAAATTGGGAGATCTGAGCTCAGAGACGTTCTCTGTCACAAATATCCTATATAACCTTGGTACAGCTAATAAATTTCTTCCTGACCCCTCACTAGCTGCTCTTGCTAATAATATGATTTGATGCTTTATGATGAGCGAGTGAATTGGGAAAAGGTTTATGAGTCAGAATACAGATTTTACTTTTGTTCCTTCCACCACAGAACTACTTGGAGCCTTTTGGAATAATTAGGTCTCTGCTGTGTGCCATGTACAAGCCTAGTGCTGGTGAGTGTAACTCCATTCACTTCAGCAGCACTATTCCTGACCTTCGTGCAAATTTAAGCAGAATCTAGTCTTTAGCTACTGCATGCTTCAGTTTCTTCTAGTAGTTTCCCTGATAAAGTGGGAATAGTAATAGTAATTGTCTGTAATTCCTCAAAGCATGAAAAGGTAAACAAGTACATGATTTAATTGAAATTTAAGTGACACAGAGCTCTTGGGTGACTGGTGCTCTCTAAATGCTAATTTTGTGACTAACTAAAAGTACAGTATGATCTTCAGAAATAATTTTTTCTTGCATGGTGGGGGAAGAGGAAAAAAAAATAATTCTGTTGAAGTTTCTCAAAAGAAGAAGAAACATAAGAAGCAGGAGGAGGGGAAAATCATGGTTTCCCTGGTGGTGTGGAAATGAGCTGTGATGGAGACGGTGTTGAAGGCAGTACCCATCTACTTTAGGAGGCAGTGTTATTAATTTTCCTGGATGCTGTTTCCAAACAAAATGAGATTTAGGAGTTCATTAAGCTGCGATCCATAATGATGCTATCATGTTATGTCTTTCATACTGTGCTGAAAAATGGTTGTCGTTCTGTATCAATGCTCAAGAAGATGGAGATAATGCATCCACAAAAGAAAACCCACAGTTACTTAAGTATTGCCTCTCTGATGCCTTCTCATTTTAATCCCAAGCTGTATGTCCTGGACTGCTTCCCCACCTTGGGAGCGGATTTGTAGAGAAGCATGGGCCCTATAAAGTTTAATAATGCCTGAAAGTTAGGCAGAGAGGTTTGTAATACTGAGGTAAGAGTTTAAAATTTTCTCTAAACTGAATGAGAATGTTTGGCCATGTCAAAGGGGAATACTGATAGTGCCCTTGATCAGTTAAGTATAAGCTAGCTGTTAAGAGCGTTAAGGGGAAGGCTGTGTCTTATATTTTCTTTCTCTGGCATAAATAAGGGGCTCCAGGTGGAGTTCACTGCCTTTGACCCCTGCACCTTGATGTGCACTTGGGAGCAGACACCTGGCTTGCTCTTCTTTTAAAATTAATGCTGTGCAAGAGTTTGATATATGTTTATTGACAGCTTACTGAAGGGTGAGACGCATGGGAGAAGAAGACCAAGAGGACAAATAGAAAGGGGGTTTCAGTAGGTAAGGAGAGGGATACTAGTGCAGAGGGTGGAGGTCTTATTTACCTTTGTGAAGGATGACTTCCATTAGTCTGTTGTTTTTCAAGCCCTGCAAAATCAGGAAATACTACATGGCCTTAATGCAGCTATTTTGGACATGCATAATGAGAGTCTTGATTTGCCAAGATGTAGCTGGTTCCCACACATGATCCATGTCTCATCAACATGTAGAGGGATAATCAAATGGACTAAAACGAATCCTCACTGATGTCATACTCTTCACTTCTAATGCCTAGTCTAGAGTCTGCTGGAGGTAATCATGATCACAGACATCAGCGGATAAGATCTTGCAAACTAAAACTCTGGAAGACTTAAACAGGCCAGAGAAATAGGTGGGAAAGGCATTTGTGTCTGGATGGTGACTTACAAGCATTAATGCTAATTGCAAAGAGCAAAATTTCGAAGATAAGAAAACCATCATGTCAGACTAGCCAGAGAAGAAAACTTCAGATTTATTTAATTTTTTGGTAACTGCCACAAACTTGAAGAACAAGCAGATTCATAACTTCACTTTTTTTGTTTTGTTTTCACAGTGGGCATTTGCAGTGACTGGCTGACTTGCACAGTAAAGCCTTTGAAGCTGGCAAACTGTGAGCCTTGCTGTATGATTTAACACTTCAGCAGTGATACAGTTGTTCACAAACAACCTCTTTCTTTTTTTGTCTTTGAATTCATGTCAAATTCTTACTAGTTTTTATATTCATGTCATGTGTTGCAGTCAAGTTATGCATTCCTTGAATGCCCCGAAGTAATTGTGAGCAGAGTTTTGCTGAGGCTTTATGAACTCAGACACATTAATGCACTACAAATTTCTCTTGTATTCTAGATATACAGTGCATTTGGTTAAAATCCCTTACAGACAGTTTTAATTTCTTCTGTCTTCAGTTGGTTCTTCACGTGGAATCATAATTATCTAGTGATTCTATTTTTAGGGGGTTTTCTTGTCAGGCTAGTCTGTTGTTCCAGTTCTTCATGTAACTGGTAACCATAATATACTGTGCTTCCTGGGGGTGTTTTTAGTTGCCTTTAAAAGTTTTCCCTCTGGATGCTGAAAAACAGAAAGTTTTTTTTCTGGGTTACCATACCTGTCAGACCTAGGTAGTGTACAGAGTTCTCCAAACACCCTAGATGTAAAGGAAAGAATGCAGTAAGTTGCTTTTTTATGTGTGCAAGAATTAAAAGGACAAAAACAAAGAAAAGATTCACAAGCCTAACAATTCAGTAAATGGGCTAACTGCACATATTTATTACACTTTACATTTAACCTTTGAAACGTAGTTTGTCCTGATGCAGTTTTTCTTTGTTCCCTTTTTACACCCAAGAGAAAATGGCTACTGTAATTGAATACGGGGTTTGGAGTATGTTAGGAACCATTCTGTAGCAGTCAATAGGCAATGAGACAGTGTCCTTTATTTAAAAACAAGGAAAAGCAAAGGAAAGTACCGTGATGTCGGTTCATTACAGAAGGATAATGGTCTGTCAATTGTTAATGCTGTGACTAGTTTTTTCCATTAAAGCCTCTGTTTCTATTGCCCACACATACCCTCCAGCTTTTCCCAAAATAATGTTTTCTCAACTTAAAATTTTCATGCTAGATGGAAAACCTTAAAAAAAAAAATGAAAGAAAATGGTGAATGGAGATGTTTGTTTCAAATCAGTCATTTTGTAGGTTTTTTCCCTCGGGTTTCTTTTTCTCTGAAGGATGATGGTTGCCACTGCCTCTTCCCTGAAGAGGGAGTAATGGAATTTTCCATGTTTTGAATAGTACCAGGTCCATGAAGCGTTTGGTTTTAAGGGCTATGTGTTTCACTGGAAAACAGACTTTGATACAGGTTTTTTGCCACCATGTTTTCCTTCTTTTCCTTTGCTTTTGGTAAACACTTCTCCCTGTTCTTTGTCTTGTCTTCTGCGTCAGATTGTAGTTAAAATTCTTACTCTTGGTCACCAGCATCTTTTTCATTTCTTCCCTACCCTAACCTGTCAAAGCAGTGTGGATGGTGACCTTACAAATGTCTGTTAAAGTTCCTTGGCTTTGTCAGTCTGGTGTAACTTGAACTTTTACCACTATCTTTAGAAGTTGAATTCCTGAAGCTTCTGAGAAATGCCTGTGAAATAACAGTGCTCTCTGCAATATGTGTGTGTGCTTGAGAGATGCTTTTGAAGCACATTCTTTTGTGAAATTTGAAAGGCTCTCCTTTTGTACCACATCTCTGCTCTCAATGATTGAACCTTTTGTTGCATGGCAGCAGAATCTTCTCAAGGGCAGACACTCTGTCCGATGCAGGGGCTGTGTTATTTGGTACTGGAAGCTTTGGTACTGGAAGCCAACAGCTGAGAAGATGCTTCCTTGATAGAGGAAAAAGGAAAAGAGAACAATTTTCA